ATTATTTAAAATTTTACATTAAAAAGGTTTTATAGAATCATTATTTTTAAAATAAATGCAGCCTATTTATCTAAAACAGTACGGATAGAATGAAAATACCATCTTACCCTTCAATGAGTACAACGAGTAGCATCAGGAACAGGAGATGGTTTATGCGCAAGCCCGCATGTTTTAAAAAGGCGAGCTTGGCAATAAATAATTTTTTAAATATAATTTGATTATAATTTTTAGAGAATATGTAATTTTTAATATGAAGATTATAAAAATAAAAAATTAAATTAAAATTAAATAATAAAAATAATAATTATATCATAAAAACATTTGGACCGTTGGTCACAATTGTTTTTAGATAGATTGCATCCATTTTTAGATAAATTGCATCCATTTTAAAAATAATTTTTTTATACCTCTGAACCGCATATTGTAGAAATGCGGTCCAACTTGCATCAAACAATTTTCCTCGAGAACACAAGACAGATTTTTAAAGAATAAATGGCCATGAAAGTAGAGAGAGAGAACGAGGCAGATGGTGATGAAAGTATATAGAGAGAGAGGCGAATGTAAATGAAAGTAGAGAGAGGGGTGAATGGCCATGGAAGTAGAGAGAGAGAACGAGGCAGATGGTGATGAACGTATATAGAGAGAGAGGCGAATGTAAATGAAAGTAGAGAGAGGGGTGAATAGCCATGGAAGTAGAGAGAGAGAGAGGGAGCATGGCCATGGAGGTAGAGAGAGAGAGACAGGCGAATGGGCATGAAAGTACAATGTATAGGAAACACGCGTCGTAAATGTGATTGATAAAGCACCAATGATATGGGGCCGAGGAATGCCGAACGTCTTAAGTATAGGAAAGTGAGAGATGCATGGATTAGCTTGTCAGCATTTCAAGGATCGAGGGACCCAAAACGACAATTGAGACCACTAAATTGCAACCACAATTTCCGCATTTATATCTACACTGGATTCCATATTTTTTTTGTATACAAATCAAGATGAATAAAGTAAGTACTTATCCATAAAATGTTACATCTCCAAATGCCAGCCTAATTGTATATGAAAAAAACGGTTAGGGGCCTGTATTTTCCATTGAATTAAATACGTGGATCATGTGAAAAATTGCAATGATAACTAAGTATGTTCCGTGAGAACCAATGCTTAAAAATGCGGATTTCGGGATCGCCAACTCCAAAAATTGGACTTTAGATCGACAATCACGGTAAGAAAACCAAGTAAAAGAATCCTAAAATTTAGAGAAAAAAATGAAAAGTAATCAAATTGGGTGGAGCTGGATCAGCCAAATCCCATCCTCAACCCCTCTTTTACTGAATTGGATAAGGCGAGGTCGATCCGGATCAGCCTTTTGCTAAACCATTGTGAGAACCAAATAAGCCAATAAGTATGCACTTGTTCGAGAGAAATGTACATTTACTCCCTCGGCTAAAGCCCTTGTGGTGTATTTTATAGGACCACCTTTTTATGGGCATCCAACCTCATTAACCAAGCAACCATCCTTCAAATAAAGGAAAAATAATAAAAAAAAATCATTATCTTAAAAATAATAATGCCTGCGGATCGAATCACAATCGTTCAATTTGTGGATCACATAAACCTAAATGTTTACTAACTCAAAGTATATTTTTCCAAAGTAATATGTACATATGGTAATTTAAGGTGGACCATTTTCTTATGCTGGAAGGAGTATATAGCGTCCTCCCGTTGGACCACGCATGTGCATTGGAATTGTAATAATTGTTCTTTTTTTGGTAAGTCAATTAGGAAGACATGCCTTTTAATTAGTTAGTGGTATTTTAAGCTTTTAGTGAGAATGGAAACTATAATGTGCAAGTCAGCCCCTTTCCCAAACTTTGACAACATTTATTTTGCCATGCCAGCTGGAGAGGACTGCAAATTGATGGTTCCTTTCATTTCAATGCCCCCTCGCTACTTGGAATTTCCTTGATTGGAAATTTGGTCCCTAGTTGTCTTAAGTTGATAATTGTTATTTATCCATTGAACAAAAGGAAAACACACCCAAATTTTCCACATTTCACAAGACGAAAGCTTGTAACCTTAGTTTTTGCGAAAATACCGAACTAAACAATTTCCTTTTTTAGGACGAGTTTGACTAACAAATAACTTTATTTGGAAATAGACAATTCATCTAAATTAATCTACTCTGATAACATTATTTTGTTAATTGTTTTGTATTGTCTTGTATTATGTGTAATATTGTTTATTTATTTTTATTATTTCAAGTTATTTATGGCCAAATAATTGTGTTTTTTAGCAAATTACTTTAAATAAAATAAAAACAGTTTTTCAACTGCATAAATTGTCCATTGGTTTATATCAAATAACCTTATAATGAACACTAGCAATATATAATTCATTAACATGATCAATTTTATTGAAACAGCTAATTATCAGTGATAAGGGGTACATACAAATGGCCCATTGTAACATATTTGTACTATAAGCATCAAATTTTAAAATGACGTAAATTTGATAAAAATATAAATATTTTAAGTATTTAAACTTTTAAACGGATAAATTGATATGGGAAAAAGAGGTTGAGGTTGTGGTGGTAGCACCCGTCATACTTTAGTGGTATATTGTGCTCTCCAATCTTTCTGACAACTTCGAAAGCCTAACTATATAAAAAAACGGGTAGGCACTAAATTACCAAAAAAAAAAAACAAGATAAATTTATATTAAAAACAATTGATACAATTAATGACAAAGGACGGGCATTATATCCGTTTTAATGTAACGTTGTAAATTATTTTAGTTTGTCACCATATATTGCATAAAATGATGCATGTAGTTTACAAAACAAAAAATGCATGTCATCTTCACCACCCATCACCGACTACCGGTGATTGAGATGAACCTCCCTATGCGAATAATTAAGAGGATAAACAATCCATATTAATTGTATATCGTCCTTTTTTCATAAAGCAGCCATCATTGTGAATGATAAATGGCCGAGATGATGCACAATTTACTGTGGGGTGACATATAGTTACTCATCATAGTATGATATGAGGTAAGGACTTCACAAAAATACAATACGTATGTATTAGGAGATCCAAGTTGATTTTGATTGGACATTTGTGAGTGGGCTGAAAATGTATCATATGTTAATCGTGACCCCGACTATCATGATCTGACAAACACAGTTGGCTCTAATACATGACATTCTTACTTGCTCGTTCCATCCGCCCACATTGATTGGACAACAATGTATCTCAAACTGTGCATATATCGTATAAGTAATATATGTGCACAAACATTTCAATAAAATAAAGTAGTTTATATAAATAACAATTATATTTGTAGAAGTAAGGTCGTAATAATTCATACTATTTACTTAATTTGATGACATAGATTTGACACTATCTTCAATGTGTCAATTTTTTACATTGTTTTGAAAAAAATTGCATTGTCAAACTAAAATGGACAATATCGAAACTTTACTTCTACATGTGAGGTTGTCGCCCCATATGAACCACACCCTTTGAATTTATATAAATCATCAATATCAAACAATAAAAGTAAGGCATACCTCCTAACTAATCGGAAGATGCAAGTCTGGTGGTGGGGACCCCATCGATGGCCTAAAACTCTATTTCTACTCTCAGTTATCAAATTTAAATCTAAAAGAATAATACAAATATACAACAGTCTGTGAAGAACCTCGAAAATAGACATGTGTAGATCAACGTTTTAAAACTCGGAGTTTTTTTATCTAGGTCGTCAATAAATATACGATTAGCGGGGCTGAACTAGTTCTCAGATATAACGAGTCAATGTCTGATTTCCCCCTAAAATCCTACCTTATATATATATTATTTTATTGTTCATAAAACGTACTCTATGTTTTATTAGGTTCTCTTAAATCCCCACCTTATAAATCCCCCATCACCATCATGATGGTTTTTGTCCCAACTAATTGAGGTTGGCTATAGAATTATGGTCCGTCAGTTTATTATATCAAATACCATATCTTCAGTGAAGCCATAAATCTTTAAATGATTTTTTATTATTTCTAATCATATATTTTTGGGCTTGCTTTTTGCATTTTACCGGCCTTCCATTTGATGTAACTTGTACCTCCTAACCCCATAAACCCATAATTAAATTTTTAAAATTTTTGTAGGATCACCAATTTAGACTAAAAAAGACCAAACTCCGATAAGTGACCCAGTGGTCCAACATGGATTTATGGATTAATAATTTAAATTATTTGAAAACATTGGTGCATATATATAAGATATGGTGTTCAGAGATGCACTTACTTTATAAAACATTTTGACTATGGAAAAAGTTTGTAAAAGGTGTCAACCTTATTATGTACAAGTAAGGTGCACCTAAAAAACTACTAGAGAAGGTGGTTCCATCTTCAAATCTGGTATCTTGACGTAGAGATTCATAGACATGAAAAAAGGCTATTTATAGTACTAAAAATAATTAATATTCTAACACCTTATAGACCGTCCATTTTTAAGCTTTTTTTTTAAGTGTTTATAGATATGATAGATGGTCATTAGAACTTTAAATTTTATAGTCAGAGGAAACAACAGATTTTCAGTAAGGATTTGCGGCACTGAAACTACAGTTTCGGCCTGGTTTTGAGACGTACCGTATTTAAATAGTATGAGGTTGACATCTTATGCAAACCTCGGCCTTTTTACGATTCCTCGTATATAATTTTTTTCAACAAAAAGGCACTTTAGTGTTTAGCTAAAGGTAGGGGCAATCCATGTCATTCTCTCTCTAGAAAAGGGCAAACCAAAAGATCATGGCACTCTCGTGAGTTCTCTAACGACGCAGAAGAGACTCCTGCCGAAGACTGGCACGCGCGGAGTCCTACGTGGCGGAAGGGAGCCTTTATTCTTTGCATTCAGGTGGGCCCCACCCAACCCTTTTGGCCTCTTCTGCTGCATGCTCCCGCCTCCTTGTCAATGCGCCTCCCTGAAACTCTCACTTGTACTCTCTCGCTCTTATTTCTCTCTCTAAAGTCGTTTTCTTTCTCCTCTCTATCTAAACTCTCTCTCTAGAGCAGACGGATCAATCCATCCTCTCTCTCTCTCTATATAACTGTTTTCTGTACCCTCTCTTTCTCAGATTGGAGAGGTTTTAAGCGCGGTTTGTAGAGGAGCATGCGTTTTGTAGGATGCAGGGGTGTGGTGTATCGAGGATAGGGTTGAGTGATCAGTGAACCATGGCAGAGCAGAGGGCTTCTGTTGAGCTCTGCAAGGGCGTCAATGGCCTCGATAAGGTCGTCTTAAAAGAGGTTAGGGGTAGTTCAGCCGAGGTATGGTTTCTCTCTCTATCTTTCTTCTGTCTCTGTGTGTGCTCCATGACCTTATATGCATCTGGATTTGCGAGTATTTCGTTATCGGTTGGTGAATTAGGGTGCTCTGTTTCTGTAACTTCGTGTTTCATTTTGTTCTGGTGGCTGATGAAGTTCTGACTGGAATTAGGGGTTTCTTGATGTCAGAGTCCTGAGTGGAGAGATTAATGATGTCAATTGTGGGGTTCCATTGGGGAATGTTGTGAATCATATTGGATACGACTCATTTGTGCTTTTCTTTTGCATTCCATTGAATTATCATAGTTATTTTCACCATTTATTGACTATGACTTATTTTTTTGATAGATCCTCCTATTTCATCTCACAAGCATGACAAAGAATTGCAGGGAATTCGATCTTTATCGGCACGCGTTTAAACTGGAACTTGGGTCATTAAAACTTTTTATGCAGCTGGATAATACATGCCATTGTCCTTCTCGTCATTGAATACATCATTTGATGCTCTTTTAGCATTTTGATTTGCATAGTTTTTTGGATTATGTTTTACCTCGAACTTATGCATGTGATAATTGTTTGGGACTTCTTATAAGATTTATATCAATCTTTTCTCACTTGAAATGCATGTGATAATTGTTTGAGACTTCTCATAAGATTTGTATCATACAACCCTGAAACACTATATTTTACTGGAGTATGGATCTTGGAGTTTTATCTTTCCTCTCGTTTTAACAATCAAAGGAAAAATGTTATTTGCTGCTCATTTTATATTCAGATTTACTCTTTGCCAGCCTACTTTGGCATTTGAGCATTTCTTTACTGATTTTGCTGCTCATTTTATATTCAGATTTTCTATTTTCCAGCTTACTTTGGCATTTGAGCAGTTCCGTGCATTTCTTTACTGATTTAGTGGAAGATCTCACCAACTCATAAGAGAATAAATGGCTAAAAACTGACAAATACAGTAAATCTCAAATACAATAAATCTCATCAGAAGTATGCCTCTTCATGGAGGCAAACCTCCATAGGAGCCACTTCGAGGGGATCGGTCCTCCTTAGAGTTCTTTTACCTTTTTTTATATACAAGCTTTGTGTTCTACATGCTACTCTCCGCCTATTTATTTATTTCTAAACTTGAACAACCTTGCTTCCAAACATCCAAAGTTCCTGTGGACTTACCTCACCATAAGTCCCTATTAACCAGGAAAATCAGCGCACAAAGTAACTTCAAAACTTGTCTAATTTTATTCTTACCATTCTAGTATATTTTGTAACAACTAGAATGCCTAGTATAGATCAGGGTCATATCAATACATCCCTTTTAAAACAACATTTTCCTCAAGGTTGATTTTCTATTTTATTATTCTTCTTCTTCTTCCTATTATGATAATCTTAATTCCACACTATTGCCTTCTTCTTCACGACTTTTACATGTTCTGGAGCCATTTCTCTTGTGGGGTTTTTCTGCTGCCAGTGTTCCCTATAAATCCTTGGCAACTTCCCCCACCTCACTTCCCTTTGCGGCGTTCTTGCTTCATTCTTCTGTGTTTGTTAAGCGTTCCACCTTCCCTCCCTCTTCTTTCTCTTCTTTAGCTTCTTTATGCATTAGGATCGGACATTAACCATGCACAGTGTTAGCTACACAGAATCAATGCTGCTCATGGTACGTATAAGCACGACAATCTGCATATCATGGAAAATCTTTATCATATGAGTTGCCATAGATAACATAGCATCGTCACTATGTTTTAGTGCGTTGATCAAAGGATTGTCTCTGACAAGATTCATCTTTGATTGGCAATGTTTTATTTGATCTGCTCTTTCTCTTGCTATATTTCCTTCATTGTGGATACAGCCAACCAGAAGGGCCTAGGATTTTGCTATGATACCAATTTCCAGGATTCAACTAAACGTAAGAGAATAAATGGCTGAAAACTGAGGAATACAATAAAATTTCATTACATTTATGCATTTTTGAGGGGGCAGGTCCTCCTTAGAGTTGTTTCGACTTTTTTCCAAGTGTTTTTTTTTTGGTTTTCTTCTATGTGCTAATCTCTCCCAATTTATTTCTTCCGAACTTTCAAAACCTCCATGTCTTCCAAGTTCCATCCCAATCATAACCCTTTCTAAACATCCGAACTTCCCATGGATCTACCCCACTATAAATCCCAGTTATCTAGCAAGATCAACCCATAAAACATATTCAGAAACCTTATTTTATTCTTACAGCTCCAGTATATTTAATACCAGTTAGAATCCCTAATCTAGATTAGGGTTGTACCCTTTAAGCACTTAAGGACATCATCTTGTTCAAAGTACCACGTCTTGTGGATCTTGGAGCATCATTAGATGTTTAATGTTTCTCTGATTCATCAATTAATTTTCTCGGATTCTGGTTTTTGTTATCATCTTGTTCTCCTAATGGTTTTGTGATGAAATGAACCATTATTTGCATTGACGAGCAACGATTTTGCTGAATGTATGCATTATCCTTTGCTAAATTCTGATCTGAAAATTTGATGAACTTGTCTAATTTTATTTGCACGCACTGTAGCTTTTCCATGGTTACAGTGTTTCTTTTGTATGTATCTGGCATCATTACATTATGCTGGCTTTGGAAAGACATGTTTCTTTTGAGGGGTTAAATCCAACAAAACTTTGATCATGAACTTTTCTTGTTCGAGGAATCAGAGTGTTGCGACAAGCATGCTTGAAGTAGTTGTCATTTGGTGACCAGGACTGGCCCTTTCTTAATGAGATCAAATATGACGAATGAAACTTGTTTTAAGTTGGAAAAAACTCACCTAAGTCAACCCATCAGGTGAGTTTCTAGATAAAAATCTCTGGATGTTTTCACTATTAAACTTGGCAAGTCCACTTGTTTTTGGCCAGGTTTAAGTTGGTATGGAGTTTGAGTTGTTGAAAACTGCTCGAGATGTATTGCTTTTTAAAATGTGTGCCTATGATTAAGTGTTCCAGAGAGCTTTGTACAAAGCTAAATAATGCTTCATGATACTTCAGAGTCTTCAGCAATATATGGTGGGATCTAAATACCTATTTGTAACACTTGGAAATAATCTTTCTCAAAAAAAAAAAACACTTGGAAATAATCTCAGAAATGTTCCCCTATGAAATATCTTATCCCAGATCATTCTTTGGTCTTCATGGAATAAGTTTCTGTAGAAGAATGCTTACACCGGCATTTCTTCTCAATATTTTGTTCTTTATCAAACCTTTTGTTCTTAAATTCAGCCTTCGTCAAACTTATTTGTTCTCAAATTCATTATTCCTCTCTTTGTCTTCCCTCAACTTCCTCCTGATGGTCCACCTCCTTTGAACTCCCCAAGCTGACAGTGATGGTCACTTTTTTCCCTCTCTCTTCCCTCTTCTTCCTCCAAGACAGCCAGCCTCCCATCTCCATTATCCAATTTCCTTTTAATATGCTTCAAGCACTCCCCTCCCATATTGAACAAAGCCATAACTAGTTGAAGCACCTGAGATTCTGTATTCTCTAAGCATGAAGAATCATTCCTCGGTTCCCACAAACTTGCTACTGAGAAGAGTTGGGTGCTTTATGACTTCTAACCTCATCTTATTCTTAAAAATATCCCACCATCCATCAAACAACCTAACCCTTTTGATGCCGTGCTCCTCACAATCTTGGGCCTGCATAGGTTTCTTGCTTCCTTTATTCTAATGGAGCAATGGACAAACCGGTCTTCTTTTTTATTGACTCAGTAAATTTGTTTGCCAAACTTTTAATGGTCAAAAGCCCAACTCCTCGTTACTCCACGAAAAATCCTCAGAGTGTTTGGGCAGCTGTCTGTGTTGCCTATGAGAATTCTCTTTTAACATTCACTTCCAAGATCCAGGTCATTTTAATCATCTGCCTCCCCATCCCTAAATCAGAATAATCTCGTTTATACCAATGATCAGTTACCTTCATACTTCCTAGGTTGCACAAAAGGGCCATCAGGGTCCTTTCATGAGCTCATGTCATCAAGGACACGTGAACTGGACAAGTCTATTAACGACAGCACACATGTATGTGAATAAATTAACTGCTATTTTGATCATTAATTGTTCTTAGAAGAATTTGATTTTATATTCAGTCTAAAAAAGGTATACAGAATTTCTGTGCCATTAGCTGGCCAAATTATGTAGGGGGTAGGGGTGGCAACGGGTCGGGTCCTGCTGGACCCAGACCTGGACCTGTACCCCATGGGTCCAAAGAACCTCTACCCGTACCTGTAATGAAACCGGGGACTCGGGACCCGACTTGTACCCAGACTCCAACCACCCATCTCGCTCTCTGCCACCATCACTCTATTAGCACCACCAAAGTCCCTATTGAAGTCTCCATCACCACCTAGCCACGCCTATCCTGCTATCCACTTCCCCACCACTACTATCACCACTGCTGCCAGCCCAACCACCACAATCTAGCCGCTACTCCTACCACCAACATCGCTGCCACCCGGCTGCCACCACCAGCACCACCTCCTACCCACCACTCTACCACCACCACGCGACTGCACTACCACTATCTCCTAGCTACCACCATGACCCTCAAGCGTTAGAGTAAGTAGTAACAAACCAATGGAGATAGAGTGTATCTCACTCTAAAGACTAAACCCCACCCGCTTCCCTTCTCTCTCTCTGGAAATTGCCCCTTTTCTTTTTGAATTTAGCCCAGACCGTAAGAGAGAGATAGAGCATTCCTCTCTCTAAACAAATCCCCCCCCCTCTCTCTCTAGGTAGTTACTCGTAGTTGAATTTAACACTATTTCTCATTCTCTAACTTTCCATGACCACCACCACGCTCACCCATGTGTCACTGATCCATCAATATCAGTCAGGCCTTCATGTGAGCTTCACATGGCCTTTGGTCTTTTCAATATATAATAATAATATAATATAATATAACATAATATATTATATAATATAAATTTGGGTCTGGGTACCCGCTGGGTCAGGTATAGCAAGACCCGTACCCGTAACTAGGACTATACGGGTATCCTCTATAGGACTCGGACCCTACCTTCGGGTCCAAAACTTGGACCCATAGCCGGACCCGTTTCGGGTAGACCCATGCTGGTCCCAGGTTGGGTCCGAGTCCATTGCCAGCCTTAGTAGGGGGGGTGTAGGTTCTGGCAAGAAGAGAAAAGAAAATAGGAGCAGAAAAAAAAGAAAGCAGGTTCCCTTAATTTGCAAAATTTGCCGAATTAGCCCTTTCTTTGGCTAGATTCTCCACAGCTACATTTGCTTATCACCGAGCATGCTTGAAGGTCACTTTGTGTGGGTCTACAGAGGTCTGAAATCTTTGTGAAAGTCTACAGAGCTTTGGAATTTGGTGCAGTACTTGCTGTAATCTCGAAGGCCTAGGGGAAGAAATTTTTTGCCCAATTGATCACATTTTTTGAATCTCCATCAACTAGAAATGAGGAGCCCCAATTTCTATTGAAGATTTTGAGTTTTTCTATGAGTGCCTTAGCCTGTACAAAAGTCAATGTAGACAACTGTGTGAGCCCCAAGTAGGATACCAGCAACCTGGGTGAACTATTTCTAAGAATGCCCCCGATGCCCACTAGTCTTGGGTCACCAAGACAGCATCTGTCAAAATCAATGTAGGAAAATCGAACCAAAATGGTTTAATCAGACATGGGCTTGGGAGCGGTTCAACTGACCTAATCAGTAAACCGGTCGGTTTAACCGTTCTAACGGGGCAAGTCCTGGGCGGTTAAGCAAGTGTTAAAAAAAATAGAAAAAGAAATCTAATAAAATATGAAAAGTATATTTAAAGAATGATGAAACAAAGTACATCCAAATGAAGTTGAAAATTAATGAAAAAACTGAATTTATCCAAATGAAGTTGAAAATTAATGAAAAAAATGAATTTTAAAGGATCAATTTGTGCCCAGGGGTATTTTTGAAATTTTCTGAAAAATGGGAAAATGTAAAAATAGATATTAATGGTCAAAATAATTTCCAATTTTTGCCATAATGATGAAAAACATTAGAAAAATACATTACAAACAATATCCCTTATTTTTTGGGATTTTATATAATTTTTTGAAACTTTTTTTAAAAATACCCGGCTAGTCACCAAAATTGGCCAAAACCGGAACCAACCATTGGTCGGTTTCGATCTAACTGGGCAGTTACCAGTTAGAACGGCCAATTTTTCTAACAATGGTCAAAATTAAGCTTTATATTTCTTGTTTGTGCTATCCATGGGGTGGATCTGGGATGGACATTGGTGTGGGCCATAAGATGGATTTCCAGTTAAGAGTGGAATTCATCTAAACTCCTTTCGGTTTGTTGCACAGAAAATGACTTGGTCTTGATCTTAGCCTTGATATCCCCATAATGAGACTCCTGACCTTCATAGATTCAGCTTTAATGTTCCAGCCACATGGTCCACACTGATGCAAGAACGGAGGCTTGCTATAGAAGCAAACCCGAGGCGGGTTTTGGGGGGGAGAAATAAATAGCAAACAATTTCTGTATCGTTTCAGGTGTCATTCCGCACCCTTCAAACAGCTCTTGCATATGGCTAGCATTGTACAGGTCTTCTACAATTTCCTCACTTGAAAAGATGGTCTTTCAATCACCCTTGCATACAGTTGTTTCTAGAAGATGTAGCTAAAGTGGGATTTTATAAAGATGCTTTTCTTTTTTTTGGCTCCATGGGAACAGATGTTGAGAATCGTATTGGCATATATGCCAATCTTTCTCACAATTTTATCAATTCCCTGTTTACCTTTTGTATTATTGAGTTCATAACGATAAGAAGAACAATCCTTGAGGTTGATATACTTTCTGTAAACCTAAAGTGGCTTCATGTTGAATCAGTCATTGACATTTGTTGTTTTGTGCTTGCTCCATGGTACTTAATGTTTTGACAGCTTTACATCGGCAGGACACTCAATTTGATTTAAGATATATTCAGATGTGGCTTTATTCGTATGGCATGGCGTCAGATTGTTCACATACTCACTTTTCTCCTGGTTTTTTAGGTGTATCTGTATGGCGCTCAAGTGATGTCTTGGAAGAATGATCATGGTGAAGAGTTACTATTTGTCAGCAGTAAGGTACTATTTTACGTTGATAACTGATATCTGATTTATTGGCATCCTCATGCATATGAGTTCACTTTTTTGTATTTCATAGTATTGTTTAGCATGAGATCCAAAGGTGTTACTTGGGGTGCAACATTGCGAACTGCAAAGTCACATGGGTGAAATAAGTCACATGGGTGAAACCAGCGTTTAAAAAATCGTCGAGTCGAACCGGACTCGTCCGGTTCGACTCGAATTTCACGAAAATGGACCGGATCGTTTCAAGAATCGGGAATCGTCCGGTTCTAGAGAGAACCGGACGATTCCGCACAGTGACTCGCCGATTCATTGTGCGGAATCGGCGAGTCCGTGAAGAACACGGGTTGCACAGTGTTCTTCACGGATTCTTTCAAATTTTTCATTTTTTGATCATTTTTTTTGTTTTTTTTGGCATGTGATCTGATTTTCAGGCTGTAAACAGCTTTATTCAGCTTTTTCAAGAATTAAATGGTGGAAAAATTGGTTGTTTTTGGATCACAAAAATTTCGGGGTTTAGGGTTTCCACCTTTTCTGAAATTTCATGCCAAATAGGGCATGAATCTTTCAAAATTTGTAGGCATTTTGATCTTAAAGCTCTGAATCAAAACCTTTTGTTACTAATTTGTGATAATCGTTGAGAAAAACTGA